TTATTTATTTTTGAGAGAGAGAGAGAGAGGCAGAGAGAGGATCCCAAGCAAGCTCCATGCTGTTAGCACCCAGCCTGATGTGGGGTTTGAACTCACGAACCGTGAGATCATGACCCGAGCCAAAGTTAGAAGTGTAACCGACTGAGCCACCCAGGTGCCCCATGACAGGTCTACTGTAATGTTTGTAACTGCCATACTGTTCTCCACAGCACCGTCACCATTCCCACTAACAGCACACAACAGTTCCAGTTTTTCCATATTCTTGCCGTTTGTTATTTTCTGTTTTGTTTTGTTTTGATAGCAGTCATCCTAATGAGTGTGAAGGAAGAGATTTTTATATGCTTTTTCACTGCTGCCTCCCCAGAGTCTACATCAGTCTCTCGTATACAGTAGCCACCATATACCAAAAAATACTAGTTGCATAAGCAAATGAATTGAATGAGTTACATCCTGTATAGGGTTGTGAGTGAGCTGAATAATGGCTCCCCAAAAAGGTATGTCCATATCATATTTGGGAAAAGAGTCATTGTAGATGTAATTAATTAAGGATCATGAGATGAGAAGATCATCCAAAATTATCCAGATGGGCCCTAAATCCAATGATAAGTCCTTATAAGAAACACACAGAAGACAAGGCATAGAGGAGAAGGCAATGTGATTACAGAATCAGACACTGGAGTGTGGCCACAAGTCAAGGAGGCCAAAGAATACCAACTTCCATCAGAAGCTGGAACAGGCAAGGAAGGATTCTCCCTAGAGTTTCCAGAGGGAATGCAGCCCTGCTGACATTCTGATTTCGGACTTCTGCTCTCCAGAACTGTGAGAGAATAAATTTCTGGGTTGTTTTGTTTTGTTTTGTTTTGTTTTTTGCCACCAAATTTATGGTAATTTGTTACAGCAGTCACAGGAAACTCAGGAAGGCCACTTGTCTTTTAACTCTACTACTGTTTTCATAATGTCTTATCTATGCACAGGAGTAAACTTTTGGTCCTCTATTGTAGAAATGTAAGGGAGAGGGGATGCACCCCACCCATCCAATAGAAATTTCAAGTCCTCTGTCCTTTGAGTTGAGATAAAGGCCACTTCCTGTATTTGTGGGGCTTACCCATGGCAGCCACCAGGAACTCTGACAATAGCAAAGGGGGCTAATCCTGTGTTCCCAGATCAAGGATCCCTAAACATTTTCCTGTAGAGACTGCCACGGACTATAGGGCTCTTAGGTTTGTAAACTGACCTATCCCTCACATGCTACCATTGTGTTTCTTCCAAACCCTCAGGGTCAACCTCTTTCACAGGCAATATAGTACCTTACATGTTACGTAAGATTCTGATACCTATAATTAGGGAATTGATTTATTCCATGTAGACTAAGAGTATAAGAAGATCCTTGACATAAAAAATGTTAATGTTTCAAATAGTACGGAGCGAGGTCTCTTGATACTTAGGGAAGGTCAGACAGCTGATCAGATAGATCTCACCAGGGCAGCACTCATCCTTACAATCCAGTGCTCCATAAATATTTGTTGTATACAGTAGACTGATACCCCTCCCAAATTTCCTTTTTTGGATCTTTCTTACAGCTGTGAGTGTTGGCTGGCTGCCAAATGAGACCTGTATCAAAACAATGCCCTCTTGCCTCAAGGTGGAATTAACTCTATGATACAATCATGTCTCAAGGCTCTGGTAGGATCAAGGACTCCAGATAAGACCACATCTGTCCTGCTTCCTTCATCGCCTTTCTCCAGCAGGCACTCTCATAATAAATTATGTACTCAAATCCTGTTTCGGGCTCTGCTTCTAAGGAAACTGCCCTAAGACAATGCATGAGTAAAAGCCAAATAATTGTTAAAAACATCCATGTCCATGACCTGGAGACAATGCAAAGATACAGAAAATGATGACATGAAATTAGGGCAAAGGACACACAAAAACAAAGAGAATGCCTTTCTTTTTTTTTTTAATGTTTTTTTTTTTTTTCCCCTAGGAGAGAGAGAGAGAGAGAGAGAAAGAGAGAGCATGAGCAGGGGAGGGTCAGAGAGAGAGGGAGTCACAGACTGAAACAGGCTCCAGGCTCCAAGCTGGCAGTCAGCACAGAGCCCGAAGCGGGGCAAGAACCCAAAAACCGAGAGATCATGACCTAAGAGAAAGTCGGACGCTTAACCGACTAAGCCACCCAGGCACCCCGAGAATGCCTTTCTTGAGTTTTGGGGGGAAAAAAAAAGAAAGAAGAAAAAAATGGGCAGAGGTAACTTCAAACCATCTTAGTGGATACAAACCTCCTTGGCCACACAGTTGGTGGGGACTCCATTATGTGGAGTCTGGAGTTAGAGCAGTTCCAGGAATTCTTTGCCATTGGAATTCCTTGCCATTAACATTAAAATTTCTAGATCCTGGAAATGGCCACCTTGAAAGGACTAGTGGAGAAAAAGATGGTGTGGGATTTAAGGTAGAACAGTCACAGAGTGGTGGTGGTAAGCCATAAGGAGTCCAACAGACATACTTCTGGAGCTGCAATGACCCTTTTCATGAAGAATGATCCAACAATAGTATCAGAATCCTCTGTGTATTATATATAAGTGACTCATTGTACATTCTATATGTACATACAATAATACTGCCATTCTTAGTAAATTCTTAATCAAGTCTACCACACAAGACTTACTCTTATCTTCGGAGGCAGGAAATTACAGAGCATTTTGGGAATCGGTTGCAGTCCCAAAACAAACTGTCTCCAAATGTAGTGGCTTAAAGAAGTTTATTTCTTTATTTTGCTTGTTTGTCTGCAGTTTGGGTGGGACAGCAGAGGTGGTACCCCTCTGCTTCATTAGTGTCTGAGGCTTTTGCTGGGAAGAACTGAATGGCTGGGGTCTGGAATGGCTGCAGCTGGCTTCCTTGCAATATGGCGGTCTCAGATTAGTTGGGCCTCTTTCATGGCAGCTGGATTTCCTCAGAGCTGCTTGGGTTCGAAGGCATGCAGAAATAAGTGGCAAAACTTCTTTGACCTCGGCTCAGAAGTTCCATGATATCACTTCCACTGCAGTCTATCGGTTCAGCAAACACTAAGACCAGCCCAGATTCAAGGAGTTGGAGGAATTAGTCCCCGTATTTCCACGGAAGGAATACAAGACAATTTGTAGCCATCTTTAATTCACCATGCAGATGTATAAAGTGAAGGGGACTCTTTAAAGGCGAAAAAAGATTGCAATATTTCCCTTTATAGGTCAAGGTAAGATTTTGGGGTGTTTTTAAAAAATTTTTTTTAACATTTATTCATTTTTGATATACAGAGAGAGACGGAGTGTGAGTGGGGGCAGGGCAGAGAGAGGGAGACACAGAATCTGAAGCAGGCTCCAGGCTCTGAACTGTCAGCACAGAGCCCAACGCGGGGCCCGAAATCAAGAACGACACATGAACCATCATGACTTGAGCTGAAGGCAGACACTTAACTGACTGAGCCACTCAGGCACCCCAGATTTTTTGTTTTTTTTAAGGCAAGATAATTTGAGCTAAACATGGCTAAGCAAAGAGAACCAGAGAAGTGGGCAGATTAAAGAAGAAATCATTTGTGGTAGCAAGGTTCTAGGGCAGCCATATTGCTGCCCTGTGGATGCAAACCGTTTTGTTATCCCTGAGTGCTGGTAAAATTATGTGAAACTTCACAGCCTGGGTTCAGTATTGCTGTGGGGAAAGAAGGGAAAGTCTGGTTCTATTTCTGGCCTTGGGGAGTAGGGGGAGTTGGGAGAGCAGTGCTTCCTGAAGCCAGGGCATAGCTTCATGTAAGCCACCTCCCTCTGACTGTATTCTTGCCAGAGGGTAGGGCCATGTCTTCCATTCCCCCCCGCCCCCCATTCTACATAGCTCTCGTAGGATACTGCAGCAAAAAACACCTGCAAACCAGAATGCCAGTGGTAGGACCTCAGCTGAGCAATATGTTTCATGTAACAACAGGAGAGGTGTGGGGATGGGGAGGCTGAGGCTGAGGCTGAGACTGGTGGGCTGTTAGGCTTCACCAGGCTTGAAGTGGCTACACAGTAAGGTAGGTCAGGACAGGACCTAGGTGTGAGTATGGGGGTATATTCTAGAATTCTGTGCTCTAAGGTAAAGCGAAAGGGGGTTTCTTTGTTTCCTAGGGACTGCAGGGTACTCAAACTCTGAGGTAGCTGCCACAGGAATATTCCTCACAACACAAGGCTTATGTCAGACGATGTTTGGTTATCCATTGCTGAGTAACAAATTTCTCTAAACCTTAGAGGCTTCAACTGGTAGCCGGTTTATCATTTTTCAAGATTTTGGAAAAGGCACAGGAGGAAAGACTTACCTCTGTTCCGTGTAATGAGGAACAGCTCAGACGGCTGGGACAACCTTGGGGGCTTCTTCTCTCAATGATTGGTCCCTCAGCTGGGATGGGTTCACCAGGTTCATGTTTCTGGGACCTCACTTCTTGATGGTAACTGGGTCCCTACTTCTCATGTAGTCTTGGGGCCTTTCCCTCTTTACGTGGTCTCCGCGTGTCATCTTTCTACAGCAAGGTGGGAGACGGCGAGCAGCTCAGGATTTTTGAAATCAAAATCAAGGTTACCGGCTATTCTCAAAGCTCATATTTGTAATGGGCACAGTCATTTCTGCCACGTTCTTCCATTGGTTAAATCGAATCACAGGTCCAGTCCAGATTCCAGGGTTGACGACCACTGACGACCACACAAGGTTACCCTCTCAGGAGGCATGTTTCGCTGGGGCTACCAAAGTAACAAACTACCAGACAAGAAGGGCTTTAGGTGCAGATGTGCGTGGTGGGCTGAGGGTGCTGGCCTCCCTTCAGAGATGTTTGACAACATGTAGTGCAAAGTCAGATAACCCCAAACTTCCTCCACAGAATTAAGGGTGCGGGCTCTGGTCGGCCACTGGATCAGCCTGAATCAAGGAGTATTACGCATTTATTGCGCATAGTCTATGCGCTGAGTTCTTAACACACGTGTTACGTCGTTATCCCTACTTTACAGAGGGGAAAGCAGAGGCTGGAGCGCAGCTTTCTTTCTACAGTACCGCACACCACGGTACGCACCACGACGAAGCCTTCTAGGCCCCGTCTGCCCCGCAGACGGTCCGAGCAGAGCGATGACACGCGGCTCCCAGGCAGCCGACGGGAAGAGGGTGCCTCAGGGATGCTGATCTGTCGCCGGCGCACCCAGCGAAGGCCAAAAACCAGAGCGCAAAGGCGCCTTACACGCGAGGTGGGAAGCGGGGAATCTCAGCAAGCGTCAGACCAAGGCTCAGAGACCCGCCTCCAAGGCCGCGCGTGCCAGAGGACTGCCCGCGCGCGCCCCGCCCACACGCGCCCCGCCCACGCACGCACGCATCGCTCCGCCTACCGCGCAACTCTGGCCCCGCCTCCAGGATTGACCGCCCGAGCCACCGTCCGCACAGCCCCGCCCCGCACGGCCAGGCAAAGCAGAGCCGGCCGTGCGGTGTGTGTGTATGTGTTCGCGGGGCGCCGTCTCAGCCCCGGGAAGATGGTGGCGGCGGCGGCGGCGACTAAGGCGAGGCTGAGGAGCAGGACGGCGGCGACAGCGCTTGCGGGCAGGAACGGCGGGCAGCGCTGGGACAGGGACGCGACCGGGGCTGGGAGGCCGGGGCTGGGGGCCGGGCTGCTCCCGCGGCTCCTCCCGCGGCTGCTGCTGCTGCTGCTGCAGGACGGCGGCGACAGCGCTTGCGGGCAGGAACGGCGGGCAGCGCTGGGACAGGGACGCGACCGGGGCTGGGAGGCCGGGGCTGGGGGCCGGGCTGCTCCCGCGGCTCCTCCCGCGGCTGCTGCTGCTGCTGCTGCTGCTGATCCTGCTCCCGCCGCCGCTGCTGCTGCTGCCCTGGGCAGCCGAGGCCGCGGCAGCGGCGTCGGCGGTGTCGGGCTCAGCCGCAGCCGAGGCCAAGGAATGTGACCGACCCTGTGTCAACGGCGGCCGCTGCAACCCTGGCACCGGCCAGTGCGTCTGTCCCGCCGGCTGGGTGGGCGAGCAATGCCAGCATTGCGGGGGCCGCTTCAGGTGAGTGGGGGGTGGTGTTGGAGGGTCAGGCCCGGAGGGAGGCTGAGGCTAAGGGGCGCACGAGATGGCTCCAGGCCGGAGGGAGATGCCGGACAGAAAGTGGGGAAGATACGGCCGCCCCACGATGTTTGAGGATCATTTGCTTCCGAGGAGATCATCGTCTCTGGCCTAGGGTCGTCTTGTACTGGAAGATGAAAAGGTTCGAGGCAAGGGTGGAGGCACCCCAGAGGGGTTTGGGTGCGGCGGGTACATGAGAAGAGAGCTTAGGGTCCCAAAGTGTATCAAAGCCAGTCCTTGAAACTGGGCCTCTTTCGGATAAACGAGGTATAAAGGACGGGAGAGCTAGTCTTAAACACTTCGTTTTAACGTTCCCTTGTTCCCCTAGGGCCTGATGAGTTCCCCGACTCATTGGAGAGAGATGCCGGGGCCCTGAAGAAACAGGGCCCTGGAAGTGATTTGTTGGCTGGAGATAGAGGGAAAGGTTAGGATTGTGAGATATTAGAGACAGAGTCAGTGGTTGTTGGCTAGAGGAAAGTGAAGAGACTAGCCTTTTGAAGCTCACTAGAGGCGGCTGATTGGAACAGGATGGAGAGGGCATAGAAGGAGTTTCCTGTATGCCCTGGTTTCTGGAGAATAAGGAGTTCTGAGCTGGCCTGGTTTGGGACAGTACCTCCTGGAGAGATCATTAATTCGTTAATTAAAAGTTATCTATTATTTGCTTCAGTTGTGAAAGGATTTCCAGGTAATACACACAAACAAATAGCCAGACTTTGACCCAGTCCACATGGAGTTTGGAATACTGTAAGAGAAAGATAGGTACACAAATGACTCTAGTCGTAAGGACTACGGAGTCATTCAGGCCTTTGGCAGATTTTACTCAACATTTTTGATGTAAGATGTGGAGGAGTGGGGAAATACGGAGACCCAGACAGAGATAGTCCTTGCTCTCATGGATCTTACATTCTAGTGGGGGAGATAGGCAGTTAATAAGTAAATAAGCAAATGAGTAAAGAAAGAAATGAATAAGATAATTTCAGATAATAGTAAATGCTGTCAAGAAAATAAAACAGGATGATCTGATAGAGAGTTATAGTAACTTTAGGAGGAACCTCTCACTTGAAGTGACATTTGATCGGACCTAAATGAGGCAGGCAATGGAGAACCTGTGGGAATTCAGGGAGGGAGGTTGTGACTAGCTGGGGGAATGCGAGGAAGACTTCGAGGAGAAAGTGACATTGGATTTGAGCATTTGAAGCAAAGTAGGATTTGGAAATGTGTAGCTGGGAAAACAAAATCCAGATGGGAGGAAGGATGCAAGCAAAATTGTAGAGACCAGAAAGTAAAGTATTGCTGGTACTAGAGCGTATAGAAGAGAGTTGTGAGAGAGATGTTTGGAATGGTAGAATTGTAGACTTGTTTAATGTCAAATCTTCAGGGGAACTCGGTAACATTGAGGAGACGAACTTTTTATTGTTAGGGAATAACCAGGTGATTTCATGACCTGTGTCTAGTTGGGGCTGGCCTTGTAACTTTTTTTTTAAGTTTATTTTTGAGAGAGAGAGAGAATGCACAGAAGGGGCAGAAAGAGAGGGAGAGAGAAGGGGAATCCCAAGTAGGCTCCAAGCTATCAGCACAGAGCTCAATGTGGGGCGTGATCCCATGAACCAGGAGATCATGACCTTAGCCAAAACCCAAACGTCAGATGCTTAACCAACTGAGCCACCCAGGCACCCCATGGCCTTGTAACGTACTTAGGGTGTTCTGATTTATGAATAATGTTAATCGACTCATATTTGTTGAGGGCTCCTCTGGGGTGAGTTGTGAGATATAGTGGCAAACAAGACCAACGCAGTCCTGCTTTTATGGCGCTTACATTCTTGCTTGGGAATAAGAAATTTAATAATCAGCTTATTATTATTTTGTTTGAGGCTATAGAACAAAGGATAGGGGGACAAACAGAGGACTTGACTTAGTTTGGAATGGTAAGGCTAGTGGCTGAATAAATGACTTTTGAGTTGAGATCTGAAGGGTCGGATAATGACCTATGTGAGGGGTGGGCTGCTAAGAGGCTAGCATGTCCAGAGGCTTGGGATGAAGGGGATCATGACAAGCTGGAGGGAAGGCCAGAGAACTGAAGCAGAGAGCAAATGGGAGCATGGCAAGACTGCAGAGACAGGCAGGGGCCAGGCCATGTGAAGCCCTGTAGGTTGGGTTGGGAATTTTGACCTTTAGCTCTTGAGCAATGGAATGGCATAGTTCACTCTCACTTTCATGACATTACAGGACTTTAGATTGGAGCCAGGGCAGGAATGGCCTTGAAAGTAAGGCCAGAGCATTTTGAATTTGAGGATCTTATAAGATGAAGAGAATGAAGGGTTGTATCAGATGAGAGTCCTTTAAGTTCTGAGAATCTGGAATGCTGTGGAAGGCACTGGGGGCCCGCGGGGTGTGGAGGAACATGCATAGCAAGGTCAGTCTGGCTACTGTTCGGAGTATGTGGACTCATTGTAAGCATGAGAGGTGGTAGGCACCTGGGTGGGGGCTGGCCTGGGTCAGGACAGCAGGAATGAGAACCTGAGATAGGCTGTGGGAACGGAGGTAGGTGCTAGGTGGTATCGCAGAGGTAAGAGACCTGTCTTGCTTTGAAACTGGTTCATTCTTGGGAGGGGAGGGGGATGGTGAGGGAAACTAAACTAGATCCTATCTTGGGTGACCGAGAAGATAGTAATACCATTAACAGACACACGGACACAAGAGGAGCAGATTTTATACACCCTGAGATTGGGTGCTCCTAGGGTATCCACTTAGCAGGACGGGTGTAAGCATTGGGGTCGTTGGTGTATGAGGGAGGTTGCCAGGGAGAAAGAGCAGTTTTCTCTCTTGTCCAGAGGATTGGAGAAGAGCCACTTGTTGTGGGGAAGAAGCAGTCCTGACACGGGTTGTCTCAGTTGGTGTCATGCATGAGTGAAGGGGCTTCCCTGGCCTTTGTGGGTGCTCCGTTAGAGCAGGTTCGAGGCGGTGTCAGGCCTCCTTCCAGGGCAAACAGTTAGCACTTTAGTCCTGAAAAGCCCAAAATATTTTGTGGGCTTCTGGAATTTGCATTTTTAAAAATGAAAATAAGAGGAACTTGATGTCTCTGGCCTTTTAAAAAACTTTCATTAAATTTTTAGTGGAAGGATTATTTGAGGGGAAGACTGAAATGTTGGTTTTGATTCTAGTGGTACGTATCTTGATTTAACTCACAGATCTTTTTGTTATTAAACGAAGAGACGTTCAAATGAATACCTTTCTGGTTTGGAATGGCATCAAGTCAGTGTCTTTTTAAAATCTTTCTAGTGCCATAAATCCTGTGTTATAATTGTTGTTATAAGGTCTTTTCTATCAATTGAAAGGAATGTAAGATAATAAGAGGATTAGGTTTCACTAAAGTTATCGCTGAGTGCATAATATATGCCAGGGACCTGGCCAAACATTTTCATATACCTTATGCTATTTAATCTTCTGGACAGCTCTGAGGGTGTTGTATAAAATTTGTGTTATCACATGGTTGCAGTTAGAAAATCATTTAATTTTTTTCCAAATGTTAAGATACTACAGAAATGATCAATCCCAGAGGATATTATTATTGGTGTCAGTTTAGTAAAAATAGCTATGGGATCTTTGATGGATGATTTCTGAAGCAGTGCCATTTTCCTTCATTTTTATGTTAGCATTCATAATTCAGTGATGATTTTTTAAAAATTTATTTGAGGGGGAGGAGCAGAAAGAATCCCTGGCATGGGGCTCAGTCCCACGAACCGTGAGATCAAGACCTGAACAGAAATCAGGAATCAGATGCTTAACGGACTGAGCCACCCAGGCACCTCATTAGTGATCATATTCTTCTATTTGTGACCTCACCATTGAAATTTTTCTTTTGAGGATAAATACATCCCATCAAATTAGAAATAAAGATAGTAAGCCCATTTATTAAAGTAATTGCATTTAATTCTTCTATCAGAAGTAGAAGTTTCAGAAGATAGACTCAAATTGCCTAGTGAATAGGAGCTTTGTAATTACCCAGGATATTAAGAACTTCCCTTTCCTAGAAGGAAAAATATGTAGCGCCTGACTACATATTGGAAGAGCGTGTGTCTCTTGATCTCAGGGTCATAAATTCAAGCCCCACGTTGGGTGGAGAAATTACTTAAACAAAACAAATTTTAAAAAAAGAAAGAAAAAGAAAAGAAGTAAGCATTTATTGAGCATCTATTTTGTGCCGAGCATATTGGAGCAATGGTGGTAGTAGTTGCAGCTAGCTGCCACCAACATTTTTCCATTTTTTTTCCTAAGTGTTGTATCAAGTGCCATTTAGAAATTACTTCTTTTAATCCATAGAATGAAGTTATTCCCATTTCGTGGATGGGTGAACTGAAGCTTGGAGATACTAAGTAACTTGCTCCAGCTCATACAGCTTGTGAAAAGACTGGACTGAGATTTGAATTCAGGCCTTGTTAATTCCCATACCCTTGGTTTCCATTGTACCATTTGTCCTCTCATTTTTTCTGAGTCTAGTCACTCTTTATGAACATTCTTTGGAAAGGCTGCTAATGCCATTAAGAAACAAAGGAGGAAAAACAGATTTATTGCAGCAGTAAAGCTAGCATTAACAACAACAACAAAACCCTTAACTTACTTGAACCTGTTTGGCTACTGGTCAAGGAAATACATACCTATATGAAATGAAATTCCTGGAAAATAAAATTTGAAAAAAAAAAGTAAAAAAATTTTTTTGGTTTATTGTAACTACTAAGCAGTATTAATCTGAAGCCCTAAATTTATGTTCATGAATCAAATAGGCCTGTCTGTGGTCCCCAATAGAATATAAGCTCCATGAGCTCGGGCTTCCCAGAGCCTTAGAACAGTGCATAGGACACAGTACACAATAAATATTTGTGGAAGGAAAGAATGAAATTCTGCGGTATATTTTTTTATGACTTATAAAAAAAAGTCATCCTTAC